GGGTGGGGGGTGGGGGTAGGGGCTGGGGCACCATCTCGGAACACCTCAGGACCAGCTGTACACACCCATGGTTGGTGGAACAGCTTCCACCTCCTTGCCTGGGCCCTGCCTCATGCCTGGCTGGCCTCAGATCCCTGCTGAGACCCCCGTCTTGCCCAGCCAGCCCCTTCCTGTCTGCAGGGCCCCACCTTCACCTGCCAGCTGTGCCAGTCCAACTGGTATCCACACCCTGTTGTGCAGCCCACAGGCTCAGGCTCCAGCTTCCCAGCCTTCTTTCTCCCAGGCGGTTCACCCTCCTCTCCGGCCCCCCACGCTGAACTGGTCTTGTGCCTCTTGCTGGTCAGGGAGCAGGGAAGACTGAGGGATCTCCAGGATGTTTTCTCTCCCCTGGCACTGGGGCCTTCTCCACAGCTCCCAGAGGCCCAGCCCATCCCTCCTTCCACAGAGGCTCAGGGGTCTGCCTGCCTGATTAATGAGGTTCCATGGCAACCAGGGCCTGGGAGGGTGGCGGGTGGCAGATGGAAGGACAGGCACGGGGAAGGGATCAGCAGCTGGCCCGGTCGGCCCGCCCCTGCAAAGAAGGCCTCCCGGCCAGGAGGCGGTCCCCAGAGGCCTGGATGCCAGGCCTGCACCTGGCAGGGGAGCATCGAGGCAGGAAGGAGGGTCCGCTCAATGGGCTTCCAGGGGTCAGGCCCCAGGACTTTCCCCTGCGCCCTCCTTCGCCTCCCAAGCAGCTGCGCCTGCGACTCGGCCCCAAGTTCTGGTCTGAAGCCAGCGGCCTCCGTTCAAACCCCAGCCCCACCACCTGCGGTCGTAGGACGGGGGCTTTCTCTGGTAGGGGTTCTTGGAAGCCATCGCTTTCTCTCTCGGAGCCTCAGTTCCTCCTCAGCCAGACGGGCACGCGCTAAGACGGAGCGCGAGGAAGGGCTGAGTTTCAGCTGGCTCGACGCCCGCCAAAGCTCGGCCTGCATCAGCGCCGGCTGAGTGCAGTCCCCGGAGGCGCCGGCGAGCAAGCGGCGGACGGGCCGGCTGGGGT